CCCCACTCCACCCCCCCACCCCACCCCCCGTAGGCATGCTAGAAACCTCAGTGACTCCATAGAAGGTGTGGCGTGGTTTCATTTTACACTCAGATTTGGGTCCACAGGACTTGCAAAGCCTGTGCCCTTCCTACAGTGCAGCCTTGTCCCAGCAAAGAGAAAGTATGTTGCTTTGCCTTAGGGTTTGTGGTAGATTTAAGACCTGACTCTTCCAGACAACTCTGGCCTTACATGGCTGCTTGAGCACTCTTAGTCAGTGACCTCCTTTTGAATGTGAAGACAGTGCTGCCTGCCTCATGTGACTTTTGTAGAAGTCAAGGGATTGAAGGCAAGGGGTGAAAGCAGCTACACAGAGCCTGCTGCTGGTTGCTATTGTAGGGGTGCTGCCCCAACATCCCAGACCAGTTCTCACCCCCCTGCTGAATCCACTCTGCAGCTGCTGCCTCTACCTGTAATGCTGCTCCTAAAAGCCCAGCTAGGTGCCTCACTGCCTGGATGCTAGGATCATCTGGGAGGAGAGAAGGAACCTTCTCTTCCTTCCCAGCCTGTGTCCTCAGTACAGGTTACCTCCTGAGCACATCAGTGCACACAGACCTGCAGCAGAGCATCAGTGTGTCCAGTGCTTATGACCAGGCCTTCTGGCTACCCACTCTTCAAATTGCTCAGGATGGTAGGGGGTCAGCAGGTGTCACATTCACATACCATCCTCATAGCAAGCATGGGGGCTCTGAGGCCACATTGCAGAGCAGAGGGATAGGACAAATCCCACAGTGTGCCAGGTCCCTGGTTTGTCTTTCCTTAAATTCCTACCTCACAGGTGAGGAAATGGAAACTCAAAGTCTCAGTGGCTAAGACCATGACATGCATTAAATGGCAAGTTGGAGTTTGAGTCGAAACCCAGTGTAACCCTTATGAGGGGGCTCAGAATTAATGGACCAGGTCCAAGAATGGGCTTTGGAGTAGTTATTGAACCCGTAAAATAAGGTTTAAGACCATACACACATTGTTATTGTTAGAATGGAAGTAGCCGTCCTCAAATTCTTACAGGGTCACATGACCTTAGAAAGATAAATAGTGGTTTGGGAACAGAGAGTTAAATTAGCGCCCTGAGTGCAATTTACATTTGATTTCTTACTGGAAGTCCAGGGTAGAGAAGATAGTATATGTAACCCATTTGATTCAGATAGGAATCAGAGACCTAGCAGGAACAAAGCTTTTCCCAGGTTTACAGGAAAAGAAAGTAGAGGGAACAGGATAAGAATGTGGGGACCCCAGCCTTCCAGACCTGCCCAGCCTAATTTGCCAGCTCCTGTTGTCTCCTCTTGCACTCAAAAGCCAACATTCGGCTTGTCTTAGTGCATCAGGGCTTGGCTGTTGGGCACTGAATAGCTTATGCAATCCTGTCCCATGCAGCATGTGTAGGGACTGGGCTTAAGCTGTAGGTTAACAATCTATGAGGCCCACAGCCTAGAAACTGGTCCAGCATGTCTTCCCAACACTAAGTGTAGGAGGGAGCCAGGCCTGAGTGGATGAGCAGGCCTGCTAAGCTGCTGTTAATTACTACTGTGAGCCATCCCAGCCACTCCCTCCACCGTGTCCCACACCTGATGGCAAAGGCTCACCCTCTATTGCAAAGGCTGCCCTGGTTCCCCTTCCCTGCTCTCTGGAACAGGTTTTTGTTTCTTTGTTTGAATCATTTTTGTGCCATGGAGCCCTCTGGTATTCGGGTGAAAGCTGTGGACTTTTAAATGTAATATATATAAAGTACATAAAGTATATATAAAGTAATATAAAGTACATTTAATTTTAAAGGAACTAATAATGCTGAAATGTAAGTATTTATACATTTGAAGCCTAGACACATAGTAATGTGTGCTTTTTTATTGTGGTGTTGTTAGAAAATAATAGTTGAAATAATAATTACTGGATACATTTGAAACCCAATTAGACATATTGTAATGTGTGCTTTCTTATTATGGTGTTCTTAGGAAATAACAATAGATATAACAATTACTATAATTCTTAAGTAGTGATAAAAGAGTTTTCAGGATCTTTGTAACTGCTATATGTGACATTAAAAATACTTTTGTCATCTCTTGGTGTCAACAGGCACTGCTAACACTTCTGTGGTTTGTAATATTTCTAAGTGAAGGAAATACTAAATTTCCATGTGAATTGTGTAAAAGTTTAGATGTCACTCACTCCCCTACCCAAGTCCTTAGACACTGTGTGCCAGGCTATGTGTTGAGTTCAAATATCATCTCATTTTGTCTTTCTGACCCCCTGTAAGGAAGGTAGAGGTCCATTATAGGGCCAAGTCACCAAGTCTGCTTGGTCCCATTGTCCCTACTCTTTTCCAGTCCTGCTGCTGTGGTTCCTACTGCTGAGCACCTACACACTGCCCTGCACCACCAGCCTGTGGATACCACATTGGCAACAAGAGCTGCTTTATGGGCACCATGTATAGGAAGGGATGTATACAGGTTGTCCTGAGCCTTCCTCCTGTGGAGCAAGCAATCTCTTTCAATCATGGTGCTTATATCACCTGGCCCAGTGGCATTGGTGGATTGTAGTAGCCCCATCACCTGAGAATGTGGGATGGGGCTAGGACTAGGTTCTGAGAAGGAAGACTGTTCTGTGGGTAGTTCAATTTTAATTCTGTAAACTCCCACATTGGTGGCCAGGGCTGGAGAGATTAGTCTCACCTCATTCTAGCTCCCAAAGTGCTTAGGGGCTACGTGCTATCTGACAGGGCAGGTGGTGAGAGATTGCTCATGCTGCAAGGGTGGGTGCAGCCCCTAGCTAAGCGGAGCCATGACTGGAATATCAACTCTGGTCTTCTGTCACTTCTCTTTGCCTTAGCCATGGAGAAAGGACAGGAAGGTAGGAACACCTTTTTTCCATAGCTACCCGCTACTCAGGCAGTGGTCTTGGGGCTCCTCGCTGGCAGCTAGGTTTTCAATTTCTCCATACCCTACATCTAAACCTCATGGGCTTTGTCAGGCCTGCCTGGAACTCACTGAGCCTCCAGTACCTGTGAAGGCTAGGACTGGAGTGGACTCCTCTCCAGAACCAAGGAAGAAGGCCTGAGGCAAGCTGTTGGAACAGTGCACTATACAGCCTAAAACATCAGTAGGGCTCCTTTCCCAGCTGCCCTGGGGACCCACAGCCAGCTTTAACAGGTTCTTGTAGGCTGCAGATACTTCCTAAAACTCAGTACCCCTGTGTGTGTTATCACTGCTAAGCTGTGAGAAAACACATGCTTGATCTCTGGTAAGACACATGGCCTTGTTCCTCCTGGACTGAGCCACCCCTCAACCACTTCCTGTGGCTGGGGATTTGGGGCCTCTGCCTGTGGCTGCAGCTAGGCTGAGATCAATGCCATGGGAAACCAGGCACTAGGTTTCTGCCACAGGGAAACCAAGCCTGGCCAGGACGACTGGGAGCCTGACCTGTGGTCCTCTGCCTCCCCCAGGAGTGGCCTGCAGTGTCATCCTCATGTACACTTTCTGCACCGACTGCTGGCTGATAGCCGTGCTCTATTTCACCTGGCTGGCGTTTGACTGGAACACACCCAAGAAAGGTAAGCATCCAGGTCTCCTGCCTGCACTTCTGCCCACATCCTGGGATGCCTCCTCTACACAGCTCTTCTTCCTGGGCGCTGCCTCTTTTAGATAACACCTACTTTGTGAAAAGACCTGGCCTAGGCTGTATGTGGTTTGGGATGGGGGAATTCAGAGCTCTCTCTTTACAGGAGCTCACCCTTCGTGAAGGATTGTATGACAAGGGAATGTATTGTGTGAGAAGGGCCCTGCTGGCCTCAGCAAGGTGCTACATGGGCTGATAAGACACCCACTTCAAGGGTTTAGACTGGGTTTGTTGTGTCTGTTTTGCTCAAGTATCCCTCACCTCCACTCTGTCCCAACACTGTGTGTTGTTTCCTGAAAGGTGGCAGGAGATCACAGTGGGTGCGAAACTGGGCTGTGTGGCGCTATTTTCGAGACTACTTTCCCATCCAGGTAAGGACCTGGTGTGCTATCTTGGGAGAGTGGGAATGGATGGAAATTGAACATGACTGTGTTGAGGAGTTGAACTGTGGCATCTCCCACCATGAGCATCTATGCACACCATACCCACTTCATGCTAGATTTGAGGCAACTTTGGATACATATACTGTCACACTAGGTAAAGGGAAAAACCAAGACTCAGAGAAACAACATACTAGTATTTCAGCTGCATATGAGCATCAAGGCAGCAAGGCAAAAAGAAAAGCATGGTAGTCAGTGGCCTCTCGTTTTGAGAAAAGAAAGGTATCAGTTCTTTGGGGAAGCAAGGCTTGTTTAACCTTTGTAACTAAAGGATACATCAGGGGCCTGAGTAATGTAAGGAACACATAGTGTGTTTTATGGTCATTGCTTGCTGCCTTTCAGAATATTGAGGACATCCTTAAAATGATGTGACCCTGGAGATGAAGTGGTTTTTGGAGAATGGGCATGTCTAGAACTCTCTTCAAGGATGCATGGCACTGAAGAGGCAGGGAAAACAGAGCATAAGCCTGGAGCCTGAGAAGCAGCTGGGGGAGAGGAGCTGGTGAGGAGGAGAAAGAATCTATCACTTTCTCTCACTGCTCCCCATATCCCCTTTCTACCAAAAAGGAACCAAGAGTCAGAGAATAGCAAAGCCCAGGGAAGCTGGTGAGCTGCTGAGCTGGGCTTCTTCTGCCCCACCTCAGAGCCTGGGCTCCTCCTATGGTGGAAGACTGCCTCTTCACTCAGCCTGGCAGGAGGGAGTCAGTTGGAGCAGTTGCTTGTGGTGGGGTGGTGAGAAAGGAGAGGAAAAGCCCAGTATAATCCAGGGTGAGACTCTTATCTCCCAGGATTCAGCTCCACTGTGAAGCAAGTTTCCACTGACCTCTAGGTTTCCTTCTCTTGTGTCTTTATTTCTTTAAGGGCACTCATTTTCATTTTGCTTGTCTGACCATTTGTCTTCACTGGATGGACCCCTGACAGGAACAATGTGGGTTCAGTCTTAGCTCCGGCTGGCCTCTGCCTGGTCTGTATACTTGGTAGTAAGGCAGAATGATCTAGCCGTGATATATGTATGTGACACTACAGGACTGGATAACCTGAAGGTTTCCCCCCAACAGGGGAAAGACCTGTCTGGCCAGCAGTCTCAGCACCTAGCCCTGGCACGCCCTAGCTGCTGAGGCCACCCAGCAGAAGGCAGGGTGCTAAAGATGGAGGCAGTGTTTGAGTGTGAACGTTTTCTATGCATGACTAGAGTGGTGTGCATTTTTTGTTGTGCATCAGTCACTGAGGCATCCAGGTTTGCTGCCTAGGAGAGATGGCCAGGTAGCCCTGCATTCCTCCACTGCATTGTTTTGTGGGAGTGGCTCCAGGGCTAGCTTCCTCTGCCCACTGTTATCATTCCGAGGACCTTCCTGCTCCAGGCTTCCCTTCTCACTGTCCTGACCCCTACTTATCTTATTGCAAATAACTGAGGCTGCTGCAGCTGCTGCTGCTGCTGCTGCTGAAAGGTGGTACAGAGCATAGGAACCAACCCTCTCAATTTGGAGGTGAGGAAGCAGCCTCATAGAAGGCCAAGGCCTCACCTAGGATGTCCAACAGGTCCATGGCAGTGGTGCCAGGCCTTCTGACATACAGCCCTAGGTTCCTTCTCTCTGACTCCTGACTGCCTGATCCTCTGGGAGGGTCTTGACTCCAGGTTTCTCCCATACTAGATAGATTCCCTTTCCCAAGTCTCCTTGATTGTTGGACACCTGGGTTTAAGTTCTTGCTCTGTCATTCCATTCACTGGCCTTCCATTGTTGGGTCCAGGCTTTTTGCTCAGATTTGGGGGACACAGAAGAATCAGCTCTGGGCTTGCTATCTAATGAATCCTGAACTTTCACTTTCTGCTTCAATTTTCTTAGCTTCACTTAGTGTCCTTTGCCTCAACTGCAAAATGGAGCTGTTAGATGCTAAAAAGTAAATTCTACTTGGGGAAACAATTACTGGGTCTGTAACAATTACTGGGCAGGCTCCAGTTTTCTCTCTGCCCCTCTGGTCTCAGTCCAGGAAGCTACTCCACCCCCAGCAAGGTGATCTGAAGATTGTTGGTCAGATCTGAGCAGCCAGTGTTCTACTGATTTCTACCCTTCCAAAGGGCCCAGACGAGCCCCATGTCCTCACCATATCTCTGTTCCAGGCATTCAGCTGGGAGTTGAGCACAGGGCATGTGTGAGTCTCCCTGTCAGGACTCCCAGGCCTGAGTCAGGCTTGGACACACCTCAACCTGAGCCCTATGATAGGTTCCACCCCCTTGCCCTTTGGGCTTTGACACTTTAAGTCAGGTCTGATATCTGCTCCATAAAGTTGTTTGTGACCTGCTTATCACACCCCTTTTCCTGGCCTCCTGCCATGAGTTATGTAATGGGGACCTCCAGCTATGCCCATCCACCCCCATCCCCATCCACCTGCCCACCCCATTCCTCCTTCTGGAGCTCTCTGCCACCAAAGGAGTTTAGCTGGCTCAGAGGGTATCCCTTCTGTCATTGGTAGGGCTAGCTGCCTGCAGCAACCACCAGGACCACAACTGCCTGGAACAGGAAATGACACTGCCCTGGGTTATCTGTCCTTGAATCATTGACAAGACCTTTGGAGACTAGGAAAGACTCTCTGAACTTCAAGTCAGCTATCTGTCCTAACTGCCTCATTTCACAGATGGGTAGACTGAAGCCCAGAGAAGAAGTACTATCGCAAGTTCACAAGGCAGTTTGGTGGCAGGACTGGTATAGGAGCCAGGGCTACCTATTCAGGACCCTGTGCTTATTCATCCCTCTATTTCCATGCCCTACTGTAAGCCTAGACAAGCCTCTGCACTTCTCCGGGACCAAGTGTCTTCCTCTGTACGGGGCTGGGGTAGGACAAGCCTGTCCTGGGAACAGTGTATGGGGAGTGCTTCCAGGAGTGTGCCTAGGCTTTTGCTTGCCAGCATGGCCTTGCCTGAACACCCCGTTGGCCTGGGACTTGGCCATAAGAGCAGACATGTCAACAGAGCCATCAGTAGCAGTGCCCGTCCCCCTCCCTGCAGAATGGACATTCTGTCCAATCCTAGGGGAAGAATGTGACAAAGACAGATCAGATGTCTCTATTCTTCTTGGTACTAAATGAGGGCCATTAACCTGTGCCATGTCCCCAGGACCTCATGAACCATGTGTTCCATCAGTTAAGAGCCTTGGGGAGGGAGGAACTGAATTAAAGAGTCAGCTAGGGTCCCAAGAGTTGATGTATCTCCATTGCAGTGGCCAGGGAAAAGTGAAGCTGGAATGGCCTTGTCCAGATGTGGAATTGATTCATTGCCTAGGGCAGTAGCCTTCCCTTCTCCAGGCCCTGTTCTCTACCTTGTAATCAAGAAGCATCCTAGATCTGCAGGGTGCTGTGGTCCATCCCAGCTGTCAGCTTGAGAGCAAGTTTCCAGCCCAGTGCCAGGTGTCCCAGGTTTTGCCCTGGTGCTTTTCCTTCTGTGGACACTGGCTCAAGATGCTGTACTGAGAGGAGCTAGGTGAGGCCGTCCCTCTGTCTCAGAGGGAGAGCACAAAACAGCAGCCTTCATGTGCATTGTAGATCCCCTCACTCTACCCAGCCCTGGCAAAACCCAGTGCTAGTCACTGGTTATTTGGTGGGCAACTGAGAATCTATTGAGTTTTCCAGAAGTGTTAACCTGCTTGCCAAAGGCAAAATGAGAAAAGGTACAAGTTTCTCATGCCACAGGGAGCATCACTAAGGAGAATTACACAGTTAAGAACGGCACTAGTCTCCCTGTTCCATCCTCTCCTCGTGCCTCCATTTTATCAGGCTTCTCTCCCACACAACCTGGGGGTTCCCATAGCTGGGGTAACAGAAAATTGGTTCTTTCACTGTTCTGCAGGGTCTAGATTGTACCTGATGGAGGCTGGCTACTCTCTGTAGGTCTGAGTGCTCCAGCTTGGATTTGGGTTTTAAGGTAGTCAGTCGCTGTGTTAAGGAGCTTAGAAGCAGGAAGGCCAGGAGGTTGGCCAAGTGGGAAGGAGTAGACTTGGTATGTGTTTGATGGAAAGTAAGACGATGGAAAGAGAAAAGCCCCCACCCAGGCCCATAGCCCAGTGGCTCCCGCGCCACCAGCACTGTAGCTCCACGGTTGAGAGTCTGAGGCCAGGTTTAGTCAGAAGTCTTTCGGTAGAGTAACAGGGGCAGGACACATCAGGTTTCTACCCCACTTTTTAGATATGCCCTGACCCCATCTCCTAGCCAGTTGTCTCTGATGCATGGTTTCCTTACAGCTGGTGAAGACACACAACCTGCTGACCACCAGGAACTATATCTTTGGATACCATCCCCATGGTATCATGGGCCTGGGGGCCTTCTGCAACTTCAGCACTGAGGCCACCGAAGTGAGCAAGAAGTTCCCTGGCATACGGCCCTACTTGGCCACACTGGCTGGTAACTTCCGGATACCTGTGCTTCGGGAGTACCTGATGTCAGGAGGTGAGAGTCCACTTCCGCCTACCCCTAATGGGCTCCACTGTCAAGGCCTGAGCCTCCCCATCCAGCAGGGTAGTATAGGAAACTGAAATACCATTCCCATGAGGCACTGGCCATGCAGGTTGATGCAGCTATTGCAGACACGCTGGATCAAGAACCATCAATCTTCCAAGATTCATTGTGGATGGTATCTTCTCAAGGAAGTCTTCTCAGACCTCGTTTTCTGGACACCTAGCCCTTGTCCACCTGGCTGTGATCCCCATCAGCCTGTCTCATTGGGATTCCCAACACCTTGTTCCCAGTCTGCCAGAACTAGGACTTAAGAGATGTTTGCCAAATTGCTTTCCCCAAACTATCTTATATCATTCTCCCCATTTTATAGATAAGCTGAGGCTCAGGGAAAAAATGAGTAACTTGGGCAGGATCATATAGCTTCTAAGACAATGGCTTGATCTGGGGGTCAGCTGTAGAGATTTTTATTTTACACTTGATTGTGTACCGGGGTAGGGAGTGCACATTACCAGTTCTGATTGTGTGTCCCATCACCCCAGGCATCTGCCCTGTCAACCGGGACACTATAGACTACTTGCTTTCAAAGAATGGAAATGGCAATGCTATCATCATCGTGGTGGGGGGTGCGGCCGAGTCCCTGAGCTCCATGCCTGGCAAGAATGCAGTCACCCTGCGGAACCGCAAAGGCTTTGTAAAACTGGCCCTGCGCCATGGGTAAGTGCCTGCACACACAGTCACAGGCACACGCACACGCGCACACACACACACTTCCAGTATTTTCCTTCACCCAAAACAACAGGCTTTTTGGTCTCTGAAGGGAGTACCCAGACACTAGGTAGGAAGGCAAAGAAGGAGAGAGAAGTCAGAGCCCAGACCATGGTCTGGACCAAGTTTGTCCAAGTGTAGGTGATGTAGAGATGTGGTCTGTAGTCCCTGGGTCCTTGCAGCACTGCAAGGTAGAAAGGCCAGGCTCATATGGAGGACATATGAGAAGACTAAACCTCTTGAGGGATCATGGGTAGAAAGAATACTTTGTGTAAGGCCCTGGGTTCAATCCCTAGCACCAAAGAAAAAATAAAGGTTATTGCCTGAGGCAAAAAGTGTCCTCCTTCTAGGAGAGCAAGAGGCCAGGAAGGAGCTGGCATAACTTGGAAACATCAGAGAAGGCTTTTGGAGCGGTGACCTTGAGGATGAGAGCGGAGCTAGCAGCTTGGAAGTCTGCCACCCTTTCAAGAAAATTGGGGCCATCCGTGTGTTGTTTCGTGTTTGGCTGATTACATTGGGCAAACAAATCCACCTTTAGGATCCCTTAGAGTCCTCAGTAAGTAGAGAGACTAGTCCCCACTTCTGGGAAAGACCATGAGGCTCCATGATCTGCCAGGCAGAGTCCAAGGTGTAGAGCCAAGATCCTTGAATTCTGTGTCATGGCTCTCCTCCCACATCTGGACTTTGGGAGACTATGGAGCAGGGTTCTAGAATGATGGACTTGTAGTGATAGGCCCGAGTGACACGAGGTCTGAGTACAGTGACACAGTAGTTAGTTCATGTCATTGGTGCGCCATGCATTCTGGAGTGTGGCTGGGGACATCAGGCCTCCTGTCTGTCTCCCCAGGATCTGCCTCAGGCTTCAGAAGAGGCCAGCCTGTCAAATCAGGCGAGTCCCTGCCTTCAGGGAACACCAAGGGGAGGGAGGGAGGAGGGCAAATAGTGTGCTGAGGCTGTGACTCAGGGTGAGTCTAGGGTTGAGAGGGGCTTGGGATGGCCTGGACAGGGCAATGGCAGAGGCAGGCCTTGCTGAATGAGGGCAAGTGTAGCCATTTCAGAGCGTCTACTCCAAGCCCTGATATGCTCCCACTAGCAGGTGGGCAAAGGACCCATCAGAACATGAGGAAATATGTGGTTCTGGTCTATCCCAGGAGGCAGAGGCAACTTGGTTAGTGTCCACAGCCTCTAGAATGATAGCAGGACCTGATCCCGGCAATTGGAGTGTGACCACCTGAACCTGTTCCTTGCAGAGCCGATCTGGTTCCTACCTATTCCTTTGGAGAGAATGAAGTGTACAAGCAGGTGATCTTTGAGGAGGGCTCCTGGGGCCGATGGGTCCAGAAGAAGTTCCAGAAGTATATCGGCTTTGCCCCGTGTATCTTCCATGGCCGAGGCCTCTTCTCCTCTGACACCTGGGGGCTGGTGCCCTATTCCAAGCCTATCACCACTGTCGGTGAGTCCCAGTCAGTACACCAAGGGCTGTCTGAGCATGGTGGGATCTTGAGAAAGCCACCTGTCTCAGATGAGGACTTTGCTATGAGGACCCAACAGGATGCTTGCCAATGGGGTGGTGAGGGCAGTGGATGTAGAGCTTTTGCCACAAGCCACACACTCTGACAGATGAGGATACAAGACTTACACTGCCCACAAGTCAGTCGAGGAAAAGCTGTTATACAACAGCCGTGGAGGGATGCTGTAGAGTCGTGCAGGTGCTCTGCTCCTCATAGTGGGCCCTGCAGAGACAACACTTTTCACTGCTCACTGATAGGTAGGAATTCTCAGGAAAAGGAGGGGAGGAGGATCCAGGTACAGTGGTGTGATTCTTGCAGAGGCAGGACGAATGCTGCATGTGTGAGGTCAGTCTGCTGGACAGAGTGAGTTCCAGGCCAGCTGGCTCTACAGTGAGAACCTGACTCAGAAAAATGAAAGCTAACCAAAGTTCTAGAAACAAGATGGTGTTGGGTCTGACTATTCACTGGAGCTATCAGACTGCACAATACAGTGTGTGTATTACATCCAGTCACAGTGTCAGGGGAGGGTGGCATTTCCTTGGTACACAGTATCAAATAACCGAAAACGTGTTTTGCTAATGAGAGAAAAATAAGTAACAAAAAGAAAAACAGTAAACTATTCATTTGGCATGATAGAATTTGTTTTTTTTTTTTTTTTTTTTTTTTTTTTTTTTTTTGAGGAATAGAAAGAAAAATAAATACAACTAGAGTGTAGACCTATGGGGACTAAGGGGGGAAAAACTGTTGTTTGTATTTGGGACAAGTTAAAGGATTCTAGAAAATCACCTACCAGGGGAATGTGTATATATATGTACATGTTTACGGTCACAAGCCAGAGATCTCATAAGCACATGTGGCCTTGAACAGTGAACTAGAAGGGTCAAAGCTCAGATGATAATCACGTTATCAGAGGCAGGTGTTTGCCTTGTGCTCAGAGACAGGGCAGAGCAGATAGTTCTCATTCAGGTGTGGCTGCAGAGGGGACATCCTGAGCCAGTGCCATGTTAACTCAGGATGCAAAGTTTCTGCAGGGCAGTTAGGTGGGGGGCAGAGGTGGTCAGTGGCTTGGACTGAAGGAGTGAAAGCAGAAATGGACAAGAAGTGTGTGCACCTGGGAGAGATGTTAGAAAGTGGGCTGGCAGGCTTGGGCTGGACTGGGCTTGAAGATGAAACAGGATGAGAAAACTAAACAAAGCATAGATGGAGGAGGGTGTCCTCGCTTCCCTCCTACCTGCCTGCCCTCACCAGCTGCTCAAAGCATGTTCTGTTCTTCACAGAAAAGTTGAGAGCAGATGCCCAGTTGGCAGATGAGGAAACTGAGGTTCAGAGAGGCAAAGGGTTTGTCCTGTACAAAGCAAAAGCCAAGCCTTTTACAGGATCCCACACCCTGTACTGGACCTTCTAGCACAGGGCAGGGCTGGATTTCATCTGCTACTCAGAGGCTGTGGCCTTGGATGGGTTCTTTCCCATGCTCCTGGGCCTTAGTATTCTTATCTGGAAAAGGGGGCAGTGTGAGGTAAAGCACAGTCCCCAGCATATGGTTGGCACATAGCACAGGGTCATTGCCTTCTAGCATCGCATTGGGCACCCAGGAATTGGGTATTCAGTTACACTGACTGTAGTGTCTCTGCCCCTCCCTGCAGTGGGTGAGCCCATCACCATCCCCAAGGTGGAGCACCCGACCCAGCAGGACATTGACCTGTACCATGCCATGTACATGGAAGCACTGGTGAAGCTCTTTGACAAGCACAAGACCAAATTCGGCCTTCCGGAGACAGAGGTCCTGGAGGTGAACTGATCCAGCCCTCATGGCCAGATCCTGGAAGCAACAGCTGCAAATCCTTTTCTAGCAAGTTCTCAAGTGCTTTTGTTCTGTAAATTTGGAAGCATCATGGGTATCTGTGGGTTATTTAAAAGAAATTATAATTTGTTAAACCATTACAATGTTAGATCTTTTTTAAGAAGGAAAGAGTCAATATTGCAAGCTCTGACTTCCATTGTGATCTGCCCAAGGTGGTGGCTGATTCCTCTGGGCCTTTGTTTCTCAGCTACTCCTATTCTCAAAACCACAGAGGACACCTGGTTCCCTGGGGAAGGAGGACAGTCCTTAGTGATTCAGCCACTTTGATGACCCTCTGAGCCCGAGGGACTCTCAAGAGGCAGAGGCCATGTCCAACATAAACATCTCCATTCCTGTCACCCCACATGGGACTGCAGGACTGGTTCTTCTGCCAAGGGCAGGATGCAGAGGGCATAGTTGACCCTCCGGAGAGGGTGGTATGGGGTATCTGGAATGCCCAGCTTGAGTGTCCCGTCTGCTCCTCACCTCACCCCACCTCACTATCAGAACCTACACTGGCCTCCTGTATACTGTACTAGGGACAAGGCTGTCCCACAGACACTGTCTTGGGTTATCTAGCTGCTGTTGGGTGACTGGTCGTACTCTAGAGGCTATTGTCGTGGACTCTGCACTGCTCAGCCTTGGTTTGGAACATGTCCTCCCAGTGGCCTACCTAAGCCACACCCCAAGTCTGGTATAAGGAAGGATCTCTCCTCTTCACAAAAGGACCTGGCCTCCTACCCAGCACCCCAGGTCCAGGACAGGAGGCCACCTAACCCAAGCCTCATGTGTGTGCCTTCCTGAGGCATTGGGGCCAGGGAGGAATGCTTCCCCTCCTGTGTGGTGTTTTCTTTCTGAGCTCGCTGTGCCATGTCACACTTTTGTATATTCCTAGAATAATAAATGGAAACAAGAACTGTCTGTGAGTCATTGCTTGTGTTGTGCCTACATGCTGTCCTGCTGCCTAGGACAGACCACAGCACCCTCAGGGCTCCTTGCTGGATCCCTTAGCTTTTGGTTCATTACTTCTGGGTAACAAATATCTTCAAGACTTAGTGGCTCTAAGCATTTGTTCTCACAATCCTGAGTCAGGAGTTGATGCCTTGCTGGGCCATCTGTTGAAGGTCCCTGCCAAGGCTGCAGTCCAGGTGTTGGCCAGGGCTAAAGTCATCTCAAGCCTGAGCAAGGGGCGATCCACTTGCCAGATTGTTCATGTGGCTGGTGGCAGGATTCCCTCCCTCACTGGCTGTTTTTATCTGAGGCCATTCGTGGTCCCTTGCCATGTGAACTTTTCCATAGGGTAGCTCACAACATGTCTCAGGGGGATCCAGTGTGCAGAGAATGTGAACACAGCCCATTGTAACTGACCTTGGGAATGATGTCTTGCTGGTTTTGCTGTAAGCTTACTCTATCTAGGTCCAGCTCATGCTCCAGAGGAAGGATTATACAAGGAGGTGAATACTAAGAGGCAAGGCTCTGGGAGAATTCTGCCACCTGTGGGCAGGTCCTAGCACAGCAGATCTGGAAGGGTCCCTATGAGCCATCAGACTGTTCTCTATCCTTGGCTCAGCTAAACCAGAAAGGTGGAAACCTGGGCTGCTGTCGCCCTCATGGTTACAGGCCTCAGAAGATGATGCTTCTCTGCTCTTGTTCCATCCGTTCGGTGATTAGTAAGCAGCCAGGAACCCCGCCCAGTGGAGACCAGGACCTCATTCTAACCTGTCATCATACCCATCCCTTCTGTCTGCCACTTGCCCACCTCCTGGTGGCACCTCTCCTTGAAGCCATGAATGGGCTGCAGAGACATTGAAAATAGCTGAGTACCCTCAGGACTGTGAGAAAGACCCCACAGTCCAACCTGGGGTCCTCAACAAGGGTGTAGTGCCTGAGCTGGGCCTCAAAGGGAGCTGGAAGTTTTCTAGGGAAGAGGGAGGCAGGCAGAGCAGCAGGTGCAAAGATGGGGAGATGGTACTGCTGATGTTGTTGAAGAGCCAGTGCTGGTGGGGAGGGGTCTATGTGGGCCTTGGCTAAGAGAGAGGAGTTCATTTTTTCAGAGTATTCAGGTGGTGGGGAGGACGTAGACTGGAAGGAGGCACCTTGGAAGAGACAGCAGAGGCTAGCTTCTCTTGCACCAGGCAGTCCTTGGAACAAGAACTGGGACCAGAAGACAGCCATTTCCTTTTGGTGGAGGTAAGGTCTGCTTCCTGGTGAGAACCTCAGCCCCACCCAAATCCCTATCCCCTAGCACTCTGCAGCTGACCTGACAGTGATGTAAAAGCTTCTGGCTTCAGGCCAAACCCTGGCCCTAACTGTGGCTAATAATGGGAGGCCATTACTCCCAGGAATTAAATTTTAGATTATTGAGTACTCACTGTGTACTAGGGATCACAGTTCTCTCAGCATTGATAATAACCATGTTCTAAGTACCCAGAGGGGCTCCTTTACCCAGGGCAATGTGCGTATTGCAACAGCCTGTCCAGAGCGAAGGCCAGGCGTGCTTTTCATCTATATCTGGGGAACTCCAGGTGGATGCTGAGTTTTTACCTTGGGAGAAGGAAATGGAACCCCCTTTACCAGAAGACCCTCTGCTGTGGAGTGAGGCTGGGGCTTGCAATCTCAGTGGGAAGACTCTTCCGTGATAGTGCCTGTGGCTCCCAGGCATGGCCACAAGGGGGCACTGAGACTAGTTCAGAGACAAATGCCCCATGGCTTCCTGAACTTTTTTTCTCTTTAACACTTTCCTAACTCTGTATCCTAAACTAAAAGCTTCAGGACTAGACAGAAACTCAGCAACCATCTAGAACGAATACCTGGGAAACTTGCCCTCCTATCACACAGCCAGGTGGCATTCACTGCCTGCTTCCTCCTGACAGGACACAAGAGGCTGCCAAATGGAAGGCTCTTCGTTCCTGGGTATCTGAAATGTTAAGATGGGGCGGGGGGGAGACTGCAAAACACTCATCTTTCTAAAAGATCTCTGCCCCCTCATTCCGTGCTAGGAATTGAACTTAGAGCCTTACACATTATAGGCACACACTCAATCTCTGTACTGAGCTGTATTCCCAGCCCTGCCTCCTTGGTCATATTTCATGTGGTTCTAGGCATTGCTGCTGTCTGCCCAGCAGCGGAACCAGCCACACCATCGCAGTGGCCTCATCCTCTTCTCAGTACTTTTCTTTTCTTTGCGCTTTGTTGTTTAATAAACAACAGCTTTTCCCTGGGATCTTTTTAAAAAAATAGTTTTTATTTTATGTGTATGCGTGTATTGACTGCGTGTAGGTAAGTGCACCTGTGTCGTGCAGTGCCCAAGGAGGACAGAAGAGGCTGTTGGATCCCCTGGAGCTGGAGTTACGGACAGTTGTTAGCTGCCATGTGGGTGCTAGGATTCGAACCTGGGTCTTCTGCAGGAACAGCCAGTGTTCTTAACTGCTGAGCCATCTCTCCAGCCCTTCTTTGCCCTTTTTGAAGCAGTCTCACTGTAGTCTTGGCTGGCCTGAACTCTCAGAGATCTGCCTGCTACGGCCTCCAGAGTGGTGCCTGCTGAGTGCTCTAGTAGTACCTTTCTTCCAGTGCTACTATTGAAATATCTTTCATTTTTTTTCATCCCCTAAATCACAGACTAATGAATCCATCCAAGACATGGCAAATCCCATCAGCACTACCCTGTTCTCCAAGCCTCAATTTCTGGATCTGTAAAACGAGACATTTCTATACCTAAATAACAGAGGCTAGGTAGTGACATATCTGACACACAAATTGAAATGTTAAGTTGGGCATGGTGGCGCACTTGGGAGGTAAGGCAGGTAGATCTCTGTGAGTTCAAGGCCAGCATAGTCTACATAGCGAGTTCCAGGACAGCTGGGGCTATGAGACCCTGTCACAAAAAGACCCCCCCCAAAAAAAACAAATAAAAACAAAAAACAAATTGGGGGCTGGAGAGGTGGCTCAGTGGTTAAAAGCACATACTGCTCTTTCAGAGGACTGGTGTTCAGTGCCCAGCACCCACTCTGGGCAGCTCACAGTCACCTATAATTCCAGTTCCAGGGTATCTGACACCTTCTAAACTCTGCAAGCCCCTTGCACTCACATGTGCACAGATCTGCACACACACACACGCACACACAAAATCTGAAATAGAAAATCTTCATTCCATGAAGCACAGAAACAGTTGCACAGGAATGCATTTAAAAATGAAAAGAAATCAAATACATTAGCCCTTTCCTCATGCAGAAGAATGTAGGATTGGTAACATTGGAGTTGGACTGCTTTAGAATTTCACCTGAGTATTGGATATATGATATAACAACCTTACCTTTCTATCCTATGTGCTGTTTCTAGGATACACAAAACTGCTTTCTACAATACCTAGCACATACAGAAAGTCAAATTTCTTAAAATCTAAGCCATGCTGGGCATGATATCACTTGCTTATAATCCCTTGGGTGGTGGAAGCAAGAGAACCAAGAGTCTGATGTTAACCAGGTATGGTGGCAGACACTTTTGTCACAGCACTCAGGAAGCAGAGGCAGTGGATTTCTTTGTGTTGGGGTCCAGTTTGGTCTGCATAATGAGTTCCAGGCCAGCCAGGGCTACATAGTGAGACCCTGTCTCAAAAAACCAAACCAAATCAAACTAGTTCAATGTTATCCTCAACTACACAGGAAGTTGGCCAGCCTGTCTAAAATAAGAAAGGAAAGAAAAATCTTGTTTCCCTGCTATAAAATCTCCCTGTAGTAGCCCCACCTTGAATAAAGTATTTTACCATTCTTTAATAAATCACAACAAATGGATCAGCATTAAATTGTACTAAGCAAAATGTTGAAAAAGGGGGCTGGAGCCATGGTTCAGAGGTTAAGAGCACTGGCTACTCTTGTGGAAGACCTGGGTTAGAATCTCAGGCACCCACATGGCAGCTAAAAAGCATCCATAACTCCAGTTCCAGGGAAATCCAATGCCCTCTTCTAACCTCCCCAGGCATTGCACAAGTGCATTCAAATATGCAGGCAATACATTCGTACACATAAAAATATAAATAAAAAATTTGGTGGGGGGAATGGTTTATTTCACTTATAGATCCAGGGTCACAGTTCATCTGGGAGCCCAAGGTAGGAACTCAGGGCAGGAACCTGGAGGCAGGAGCTAGAGCACAGGCCATGGAGGAACTCTGCTTACTGGCTTGCTCCCTGGCCTCTGCTCAGCCTAATTTTTTTTCTTCATTTTTAAAAATTATTTATTTAGTAACCACATAATTAGAAGAAGCATTTCATTACAACAGCATTGATATATTCAATAACAATTTCCAGAGCTAAGATGCATCTCTTTCAAAATTTGCTGTAATTTTTAGCTTTACAGC